TTTTCTGGGATTGTGACGATGGGGTTTTTTTTCAAGTTTTGCCCACCTACGCACCCACCCACGCATTCACATTGTTTGTTTGTTTGACTATGAACCCCTTTTACATTTGTGGACCGATCTTCTTGCAACCGGTCTTGAAATTTTCCAAATTTTTCGGGAAAGACTGCTAAGAGTTTTTTGAAGTTTTGCCCACCCACGCACCCACCCACGCATTCACTCTTTGCGCCAAGCTATCTACCACAAGGTGGTGTGGAAATGATAGCTTAGAGAAGAAAAAAAAGACAAAATACCCAAAAAAATAAAAAAATTTCAAAATTAGTTTCGAGGTCTCCATGTACAGGGAGATTATGGTCCGATATTTGTGAAATCGATACAAAATGTTGCAAATTTTTCGGAGAAGAATTTCTCGACTGAGTTTTTAAAATCTGTGACACCCTCTGGAATGCCAGTTCATCGACTTAAAATAAAAATAAGTGCTACAATTATTCTATTAAGGAATTTTAATACCAAGAAAGGACTATGCAATGGCACAGGATTCATTGTTATTGATCTAAAATCTAATCTGATTGATACTTTTATTAGCTTTTGAGCCCGCGCGAAGCGCGGGCGAAAAAGCTGGTTATTATATAAGCTGTGAACTATAATTTCCATTTAAACCAAGATCGATCATTTTTTTGTAATAATTAATATAACATACGTAGTTCACCTTCACGTTAGCATAAAACAATTTATAAAAATGATAATGATTTATAGATATTGTACATTTCTATACATTTACTAGTACAGCTCTTCGTCATTTTATTCGTGTAATTTTCGACAGTCAAGTCAGCACAAATACTGATTTATTTGCAAAGAATCGACATTCTGTCTTACCTGATTGTAACATGCGTACGGTTTTATAAGTAGGAAAGAAAAAGTTGAAATAATTTTCATATAAAGACGCATAAATAACTCATAAATATTTCATGTTTGTTTCGTAGAATAATTAACGTGTAGTTTATCATTCCGATTAACTGTAAGTACAACAATTTTTCTTTTGGTAAAGCGTTGTGAGTGCAACTTATTTTGACAAATTTCACATATCAAATGTAAAATAGCATGCAACAACATAATTAAGCTTGATTCAATCTTTATTATTTATTTTATGCAAGAACGTGAATATATACATTTGTAAAAGCCATTTATAACGTGTTTAACACTTGTTTAATTTTGCTACGCTGTCGTCTTTTATGACCTCGAAACACGTACCATTGCTTCAAAGAGCTACATGTATTTTATGTTAGAGACACATCTTTAAACCAAGTGGATAAGCAGGGCAAAACACCAGATTAATTTGCATTCGAAGCAATTTTAAATAATAAATAAGCACTAACAATAAGTAGCAATTGTGTACCAGCGTGGCTATTATTGCTTTTATCCCCAGCAAAGCGAATAGTTTGCCTACAACTTTTTGCAACGCACTAGGCATTAAGTTCTTAACGTTCGACCTCTCTTTAAATGTCTATTTTGAGGCGATTGGAATAAATTTTACGCGCATCGGATTAGAAGATCGCAACACCAAATCACCTTTTATTACAAGATCCTTTAAATAATCAACAGGTTCCAGATAGAACTTCTGTATTAGATGGGACATCATTGCCTTCATCTCCAGCATAGCAAATCGTTGGCCTACAATTTGATGTATTTCAAACTCATCATATAAAAAAATGTGGAGAAATAGCTTACCGATACAATTACGTGGTCCAGCACTAAATGGTATGTACGAGTAAGGATGACGATTTCTAATGTTTTCAGGTAAAAATCTATCTGGATCAAATACTTCCGGATTTGGCCAAAAATTAGGATCTCTATGAACGCCATAGATATTAAGTTGCACCGCTGTTCCAGCAGGTATCAAATATGTTTCTGAAAAATATTTTATAAAGATGTAATGCACAAATAATCATTAAAAACTTCGTTAAAATTTACAATCTAAACATCTATTTGAAGCAACATAAACTAAATTCATTAATTAGCATAATAGAAAAATAATAATCTTCATTCATTGATCTCGTAAAAATATTTAAAAAAATTTTGTATTATAAATTATAATAGCATTTAATTAACGCAAACAATTAATTTTGGTTAAAAAATTTTTTGTGTTATTTACGAAAATAAGAAAAATAAGTTTACTTTTAATATATAAATACATTATAATATATTTAATAATATATATAATAATATGCCTAAACAGGAAAGGATTAATTAGATACGTACTTAATTGTACTTCTTCATTTACAACTCGTGAAATGAAGAAAACACTAGGGTATAAACGCAACGCTTCTTTTATACATCTCTCTAAATATGATAGACCTTGCAGCGATTTCATGGTAAGTTTTCCCTGATTCTCTTGCATAACAGTATTGATTTCTCTTCTGACTCGATCCTGTATCATTATTAATAATTAAGAGAAAATTATTTACCGTGATTAATGTTTCGTTTATACGAAAGTATAAAGAGAAATTTCATAGAAATAGTATAAATTCTACATTTATTCGAAAGATATTGCGATTAATTTCTTCCAAGTACATATATAATAAATTCCCAGCAAAAACATTACAACAATGTCACAGCAATGTTGCTGCAATGTTTTGTGTCGGTTGGGTTATAAAATATTTGAAATACACGTTTATGTGTTTATATAAGTATGTTTCAAATAATTGAAAAATAGAGAACCATTTAAAGAATATATCCATTTTTTTTGTATATTCATTTTAAAAAATATACGTTATACGAAAGTACATATGTATACAGGGTGTCTGATATAAGAAGACCCCTAAGAAAAATGGTGGTAGGCTAAGTTAGACTAAGAAGAGAAGACATGTACCATTTTACAAAATTTTCTATAGTTGTCGAATAATTAATTCAAAAGTCTGGGCGAATGATAAGAATTTTGTAAAATGGTACATGACTTTTCATCTGTTAGTCTGCCTCAATCTACCACCAGTTTTTGTATGGGTCATCTTGTGTCAAACACCCTGTATATATCCTGTATACATACAACTTATTATAGACCTGTATTGATTGTTAAAATTATTGTTTCTATTACATTAAATGGTAATTATGCATAAAAGGGGCCTCCTCTCCGATTTGCTTCATTTTTAAATATGTTGTTGGGGACGTCTTCCCGAGTCATTTCATATATACAGGGTGTCGGATTCGATTTGGACGACTCCAAAGATTATAGTAGATTGGGTCAAACTGAGAAGAAAAGTTATATACCATTTTACAAAATCCGTAATTATTATCGCGTAATTAAGAAAAACGTCTGAGCCAATAAGTGCACGGAAGAGCGGAAGGCCGGACTCGGCAGACATGCAAAATGGTGTATTTGTTGACATTTCTCAAGATCCGATAGCGAGAGGTGGAGTCACGCATCGATCGATGAGAGACGGGGGTGAGCGGGGAGCGGTGAGCGGGCGAACGGTGCGCAGCAAGCGAACGCGCGACATATGACACCGCGCCGAAAAAGTTTTTCTGGTGGTAGGAGAATAATACACCATTTTGCATGTCTGCCGAGTCCGGCCTTTAGCTCCTCCATGCACTTATTGGCTCAGATGTTTTTCTTAATTACGCGATAATAATTACGGATTTTGTAAAATGGTATATAACTTTTCTTCTCAGTTTGACCCAATCTACTATAATCTTTGGAGTCGTCCAAATCGAATCCGACACCCTGTATATATAAGGGCCGGACTCAAATAGTTTCGGAGATACAGGCTGAGAAAGGATACAAATAATAAATACATATATGGTAATTCTTCAGTATAGCTGCTCCACCTCCAAAATCAATCAAATTGGTCTCATTCGACGCGTTTTTCAACGAGAAACAACTTTTTCCTCAGACAAAATCGTTGCTCTGCCCTGCGAAGCGAGATATTAATTGTTAAAGTTGACAACTTTTAGAGTTAGGAAATCTGTCATACCGACGAAATGTAGCGACACAACATGGGTTTTCGACTTTCCACGTGAAGCGAGATCCACTCCACACCTCTGACATAGGGTGGGTAGGGTTATTTTTAACGAAGTGGAGATCCCCCCAAAGGGGGGGCGGAACACACTGTCTTCACGCATACATTTTTCCATCTACTTTTGGTGGAGGGGAGTGACTTATATGTAGGTAGAAAAATGTATGCGTGGAGACAGTATGTTCCGCCCCCCCTTCGGGGGGACTCCACTTCGTTAAAAATAACCCT